TTTTTTTTTGATTCATAATAAGCAGGAATCAAAAGTCAAACTCTCTAACACATATTTTCTTTGGTAGGCAAAAGCACACGAAGGTGGCACCAGCTATAGCACTTTGTCATCGTATGTTTTTAGTGTCTGCAAACTGTTAATTCTTTATTAATCGCTTTGTTTTTGGTCGCATTTAATTTATGTAGTAGAGCACAGATGACTTTTGTTTTTTCATGCGTTTTGTGCTGTGTAACAGCAGTACAAGACGCATATTGTCACGGGGTTATCTGTGTATGTCTGTGTGTTTGTGTGTGTGTGTGTTTGTGTGTGTGTGTTTGTGTGTGTGCGTTTGTGTGTGCGTGTGTGTGTGTGTGTGTGTGTGTCCGCAGCAACTTTTCCGGAACTTCCAACTTGGGAACCAGAAAAGCTAGGAAGCTGAAAATTTAGGGCGACGTTCCCCACCCACGTGCGGCCCCGCAAATTAAAATTCAACCTCCCCGTACCCGCGGGTAACAAGTACAGCCCCGTAAAAGTTTGGGCGGGTGAAATTATTATCACGGGAACCACGAAAGCTGGAAGGCTGCAATTTTGTGGGCATACCCTCCGCCCATGCGCTACCCAGAAAATCTAAACTCAGCTTTCCCCTGCCCGCGGTTAACATGTACGGCCCCATGAAAATTTTTGACGGGTAAATTATTATCTCAGGAACCACGGAAGCTGGGAGGCTGAAATTTTACGGTAATACCTCCTACCCATGCTCGACCTGCCTATTCAAATTCAGTGTTCCCGCGCTCTCGGGCATCACCTAAAGCCTCGTGAAAATTTCCGCGGGGAATTTATCTCGGGAACCATAAAAGCCAGGAAGCTGGAATTTTATGGTAGTGTCTTCTGTCTACATACCATCCTGTAATTTTAAATTCAGCTCCCCGCGCATCCGAGTATCACTTACGGCCCCGTTCAAGTTTCGGCAGGGAAAATTATTATCTCGAGGACCGCGGAAGTTGAGAACCAGAAATTTTAAGATGATCTCCTCTACAAACGTGCGACCTCGTAAATTTGAAGTCAGTCTTCGCATACCCCTGGGTACCATGTACAGCCCCGTGAAAGTTTTGACAGAGAAGTTATTATCTCGTGTGCGTGAAATTTCTAGTGGGAAATTCCGCAGTTTAAGATCCAGAGAACATTTCAACTACTTTTGCACAGACCAAAGTGCAAAGCAGTGAAAATCATTAGGAGGCAATCGTTCCGTGGACGGAATTGCACAAAACGCATGATCGCACCGGCTACCCTGGTGCGCGCCTCTGTTTATTTTTTTTTTTTTTGTTTTGAGGGTGATGACATTGTTTTACCGTGCGCTGGAAAAACGAGCTGGCTGTAGTGATGCACTGACGGATCAAGTAATTGTTGTCCTCGAGCGTACGGTTGCATTACTGATGGCGATGTCCTACGAGAATGGTTTGTTTTTTTAGACCTTTGCATGACACTGCTGCACACCATCTATTCATCTGATGGAATTTTTGATTGTCCTTAGGAACTTGAACGGATACTTCAGTTATGGTCTCCTTCATCATCACTTAACTGATGAACATGTCGCTTGCGAGCATTGTTCTGGAGGATGTTTAGGTAGAGATTTATTACGTGCGCAATTATTGAATGATGCAGCAGTGGACATCTCTGTCGGAGAGGATTTGAAAGTCTTTCCCAGACCTCCCACTAAAGTCCAGGAGGATGACGACATCAACGTATTGTTGTGTTCGGGGATGAAACTTGACTGAGTACGAAGCTAATTCGATAGGCGAGCATGTTTTTGAGGGATGATGCAGATTGGGGGCAGTGGTAACTGAGAAATCAGACAAATTTGATCCAGGCGCAAAGGTGATCAAGAGAATGTTGATCGAGCCGGGATCTCGTCAACCGAGCATGAACCCGCAAGCAAGTGACCTCTCTTATATATTACTCTTCGCCCACGCCCCAAACGAAGGAAAGAGTTTCCACTTTTCCATTGGCATACGATCCACTCTTTGGTGCTCTGACGGTCTTGTAGTAGTAGAAAAGCAGATAATAAATAAATTATGTCTATGAAATATGTGCCGGAGGTGAATTTATAGTATAAAATGAAAATTGGGGATTGACAAAGAA